AAGGAGGAAAGGAAACTGGAGACACAGGAAGGAAGTGGGATAAGTGATGGTACAGAGAAGGGTTTTCAGTAGATGAATTAAGGTAAATGGGTATGAATTATTGAATGTAAAACTATGATATGCTCTGTAAACCTTCATCTAATTCACAATAAAAAATTAAATGAAAAACAACAACCAACTTCGTTAACATCCATAAACATAACTAACACACTGCCTTCTATTTTAAAAAATAAAGAATATCATAGAAGTGTCATTAATTATTTCTAAAGAAGCTTTATGGTAGAGAGATTTTCTCTTCTGTCTCAGTAGACTTTAATTCACTCAATCACAGTGATCTACAGTCTTGGAGAATATTAACAGCAGCACGATCATTACTCATGCCTTACACTTTTGAGTTGGTATCCTCGTTGACTAATTTTGCTATGTACAGAATAAACAGAAGTTCAGAGATCGAGATTGTTCCCTCGACTCGTTGCCTGTCTCCTCGAGAGATGACAGAGTTCCCGAGTAAGGGATTGACTTGCTCAATCAGAACACCAAGTCTCTTACTCCTTTCTACACCCTCGCACACACAGTCTTCCCACATTGTTATTTACCTAGAGTAACCATTCAAATAGGAGCCCTGGTGGCATAATGGGTATGTGTTGGGCTGATAACTGCAAGGTCAGCAGTTCGAAACCACCACCACTCCTCAGGAGAAAGACAGGGCTTTCTAGTCCCAGAAACTCACTGGACAGTTCTACCCTGACCTAGCCTATAAGGCGGCTATGACTTGACATTGACTCATGGCAGTGAATTTAATCATTCAAGTACTTACACCTCATGATTCCACAAACATGTCAAAAATATCGTGTATGAAGAGATATATATTAATGAGCACACCCAGCAGGTAAAAACTCAGCTTGTCTCTATAAATCTTTCAACCTTCAAAGTTCCCAAATAAGAGCTGCACTAGGGCTTTTACCCGTTTCATGAAAGTTACAAAACTAAAAGGTCTCACAAATCTCACTACTTTGACGCGAGGCCACAGCTTTTCCAATGCAGAGCTGTGCAGTAACAATTAGAAAATATTATTTCCAGTAACCAGAGTTTAAGACGGCTAACATGGAACCATCAAGTAATACCCTGTTTGTTTGTTTGTTTGTTATTCCCAGGCCACAAAGTCACTATGGGGTTGGCAGTGAGCCTGTGGCAGGAATGAGGAAGTTCATCATGCACTTCCTTCTCCACGGACTGTCACAGTGTAGGGACACACCTATGGCACTGCCTGTAAATTGCGCCTTGCAGCCTAACACACTTGATAATGTGCATCACACACAGCTCTTAGAACAAGGAGCCCTCGTGGTGTAGTGGGCAACGCCTTGGGCTGCTAACTACAAGGTCAGCAATTTGAAACCAGCGGCAGCCCCTGGGAGGAGAATGAGGCTTTCTACCCCCACGAAGGATGAAGTTGTGA